AGTTTCCTATTTATAGATTACATACATTTACATTCATGGTGATTTCGAGATGATTGTCATAATTGTCTCAATTCGATTTAACTGTAGAGATTCGCGAAAGCTTCAAAATTGGGGAAGAATATAATATGAGTTTTCTCTGTTTGGGTTTGATCAAAATAAATCGAAGCTTTAGGAGATTTCTATGATATGATTTTAACAATGTTTCTCTGTTACAAGGCTAAATTGTGATCCTTGATCGTTGTAAGGGAATGTGGTATAACATTTGACAGCATTCTCAATGCTAACTTCTCAAGTGTTGTTTTAGACTCGATGTGGCTCAGTTCTCATAGCTCATTCTGTAGACTCCCACGATCCTAGGGTTTGGGATTCGTTTTCACATAATTTATTTAGATATAGGCCTGAATATGGCAATGTGATTAGTGAAAGCTGCTCTTGTCAAAGATGCAAATGTGAATCTTCGTGTTGTGTGCTAAGAGGAATTAGTTTGAAGTTTTCAGCTTCATCTGACCATTGTTTATTTCTGCTCTCGGCTACCTTCTTTAACCTTCCCTTCAAATCATTATGTTTATCGATAAAGTGTGGTTTTTTTAGTCTAGTTCTAGGCTCATTGGTCGGTTATTGGCTTGTTGTAATATATCTTGTAAACTTATGTGTATGATTTTGCAGGAATCTATGTAGGTGATGGACAAGTCAACCATTTCACTCGTGGGGATGGTCAAGAGACTGGAACTGGGACTTTCTTGGACAAGATCATTGTTAGTTCATCAAATCATGGAGACAACCCATGTCCTAATTGTGGAGATAGATCCCAGGTTGGTGGTGTAATCTCCTCTTGTCTCGACTGCTTCCTCGCTGGAGGTGATCTCTACGTCTTCGAGTACAGTGTCTCTCCTGCTATTTTTCTTGCCAAGCCTCGAGGTGGCGTATGCACAATAGCATCTTCAGATCCTCCAGAAGAAGTCATTTACCGTGCAAACTTCCTCTTGCAAAATGGTTTTGGTGTTTACAATGTTTTCAAGAACAACTGCGAAGATTTTGCCATCTATTGCAAAACAGGTTTGCTGGTGGCAAACACTGACGTGGGAAGGAGCGGTCAAGCCGCTTCAATGGTTGCAGCCGCTAGCGTTGTTCTTTCTTCACCGCTCAGGTTTGTAGCAGGCTTTGGTAGTTTGGCCGTGGCTGGCTATGGCATGTACTGCGTCGGTCGCCTGGTTTCAGACATAGGCATGCGATGGGATGTGAGCAAGGTTCCTGTGGAGAGACTAGTTACTGATATGAATGATTTGGTTGGGATGGAAAGTAAACCAGAGGACGAGAAAATGGAGAGTAAACCAGAGGACAAGAAGACAAGTTAACCGGGAATTACGCATACCAGTCTTTCCACACTGGTTCGATTTAGTACTATGATTGATATCTGATTGTAATTGTTGTGGATGAAGCAAGAGAATATGCTGAAGCTGTATCGAATTGTGCAACTTCGTTTGTTATGTTAATATGAAACTTGGCTTATGCACCAGTAAACTATGATTATCCACTTTATTATATACAATGTAAATTGAACATAATGATGTTTTTACATTCATAAGAAGCTTTGGAAATACAGTACAACTGAGGAAGTTTCTCAGTCATTGCCTTCCGGGAAGTTCACCAAGTATATAGCAACCAAAGTGACCGCTGCTCCGACTAGTTGCAACGAGGAGAAAGTCTCATCGAGGTACAAATACCTGGTCCGAACCAAACATATCAGAAATCGGACTAATGACTAAAGAAACTTGTGATTAGACTCATGGATTCGTAGTTCGCTAATTTTTTTGTCTTACCCAAAGATTGAGGCAAACATTGGTGTCAAGAAGGTGAGTGAGCTGAGTTTAGTCAAGCTTCCTGCGAATCAAACATCGTAAAAGCATCAGAAATCTGAAACCAGAAGCAGCGATACTATCACAAGAAGGCAGCAAAATGTAACCTTTAGTCGCACTGTAGAAATAAACACCGTAGCTAACTGCACTGCCAAAAATGGATGTGTAGAGAAGTGCTATGACATCATTTGTAGAAAGGTTCTGAATACCGCCGTTAAAAACCGGGTCATGGTTGATAACGGAAATCGCCAAAAGAGGAAGCCCACCGATAACCATATGCTGCACATGTTTTGTTTTGTTTAGTTCTTGTAAGAAGAACTCTCAGAGACAAGCCATTGAACAGAAATGGGGGACAAGTAAGGTCCGAAATGGGCAAGGATCGAGCATCATTACCCAACCGGTTGCCATAATTGGATCCGAGTATTTTGAGACCCATCGAACCATCACAGTGCCAATAGCCATGCTCTGAGCTGCAAGAAGCATCCACCACTCTCCACTTCCCCACAAGGAAAAACTATTACCATCTGAAGTAACTGATGGAACCTGTAGTGAATCAGACATATCCTCAACTTGCAAGAACACTATCGTGATACTAGCTCGGTCTTCGCCTAGATGATTAAATAAAATCTTTTACCTCAAGAAGCAAAAGTCCAGCAACCCCAAGAAGCAAACCTCCAGCTCTCACTAGTCCAATAGACTCACCAAATAAGAAAGATGCTAATACAGCTACAGTCAATGGCTGAGAATCAATTATAACCTGCGACAAATTGCAACGGACTGATTAGCAACCCGAAAGCATCGCGGTAAAGAAGACGAACAAAGTCTAAAACTTTTGGTCATATTGAGACGAGAACAATGCAAGAGAAAGAAATCTTCCTTACACTTCCTAAACCAGCAGAAGTTCTCTGTAAGCCTTGAGCAAGAAATCCCTGTCAC